CCCGCAGCCACCGCCGCGAAGCGCCATCCGATTAATTCAGCAGTCTCTCGATATGCACAGTTCGCCGTTGCATTAAAATACACGGACTTCAAAGCGCACCCGCCGACGTATATAACGCAACGCGAGCGCCGACGTCAAAGGTTACGTCGTACCGCACCTTCCGCCGTCGCGCGTTCTCCGCCTCCCCCACCTTCCCCCCTTCGCTCCCTTCATGGTCCCGAATTTTTCGGGGATGCGAATTTTGTATACGGTGTGGTCGCGAGAGCGCGCCACGAAATGATTCATGGTGTCGCGGTTTCGCTCGGCTCTCGGATAATGTTTCGCGTTCCGTCGGGAAGAGAGAGATTGTTCCATTATACGCTGAGAGAAGTCCCGGTAAAACCATAGTCATCTTCCAGGCCGACTCTCAACTATATCTTCTTCTTCCGGTTTCAACCCGGAAAGTAGTAGCAGCGATACGCCATGTAAGATTATCATCACACTGGCGTCACGGCGACACACAGAAAAATGGTCCCTCCGACGATAATCCTTTCACTCGTCACGATCAGAGTTGCAGAGATTGAAATTGTTTCCTTTTCTTTTTTCTGAGTGTCAATCAGTAGCTCCGTTCGGATCCAGTCGAGTAACTGGCTCGTTACGATTTCATTGGGACAATTTTAGATGCATGACGATCTTAGGTAGGCACCGATGGAAAATTACGCAGTTACTTTCGACGCTAAACATATCCTTTATTATCTTAGCCACAGAAATAGTCGGGAGAGCCGTTTTTCTCATAAATGTCGCTGCAATGTCAGTGGTAATAATAACTTTACACGCATGTTGCTACTATTATAAAATATATTCGGTACCGAAAATAACATAATATAATTTTCTGTCGAAGCACGACGTAATTCTTTGAGAAGGACTTCTGTACGAAGAAAACGCGATACGGAGAGAACATTACACGCACGAGCGCGATCTCTGTTTAGATCGCGAACGCGACGTCGGAATTATAAATTAAACCGGGGATAGGTCGCCGGGCATATGAATACTTGAGATCGAAATTGAAAACGAACCACCGCAGGTAAATTCGGCGGTCGGCTGATATCTGCCGCTAAACAGCTGGCTGATTCGGCGCCAGTTAAAAGGGAGGAATCGCGCGGGAAATGCTCTCTTTCTTGTGCGAGGCTATCTTTTGAAAATCGAATCAATAACAATGAGCAAAACTAGCCATGCGAAAGTCAGATAGCGATTGAGTTTTCTACTCGATTACTACGAAGCGGACCACCCATCGCGATTTCTCCCCCGCGACTGAACAGTTTACCGCCCGCGGACGCGTTTCAATCGCGCGATATTCCAGGCATGCTCCTCTCGTAATATATTAGATCGCGAGCTAGGTATATTTAAAGTAATGAAATAATTTCCACTCCTAATAGATTATTTTATCTTGAGAGAAAGCGCAGGGAAGGGAGAAAGAGAGAGAGAGAGAGAGAGAGAGGAAGACAGAGAGAAACGCACATTTTATGTGATTTCTGCGTGGATTTTTTTAAAATGAGAGGAATTTGTTTTGCAGTGAAAATACAATACACCATTATTATTTTTATTATTGATATTACAGTTGTTTGAAAATTATATAATGTAATTCTTTGCAATATTAATCGTCAGTGTACGATAAATTTTCGTAGCAGTAACTTTGATGACGATAAAGTTTCACTGGAATTAATGGAATCTTTGGAATGTTAGTGCAGCTAATAAAGGTGAGATAATTTTTAAATCGAACATACTTAAAAGACTGCTCCCATGCGCACGTGCTCGTGAGTGTATTCGCATCGTTTCTCAACTGTTTATTCGGGACCCTTTGACGACAATCAGCGGTTGCCTTGAGAGTATGCGTTCAATTCGCGAAACGAGATCGTTACATCGGACGATTACGCTCGAACTCGCGCCGCACAGCGTCGCAGAACTCGTAGGACACGCCGTCGAACAGAACTAGCCACTGTAATTTTCATCTCTCATTATCCTTTCTTCGAGCAACAATTGTCTCTTTCGCTCGAAGGAAAGATTGCATCGAGACCGACTAACGGTGTGCGATTTCGAATTATTAAATTAGGAAACAGTCGGGCGTTCCGGCAAGACAGTCTTCCGTTAACCATTCAATTTTTCGATACTCGCTCCATCTTTCCCTCACTTTCTCTCCCTCTTTTTCTTCTTCTTTTGTGCACTAATATCTTCATTGATATAACTTAATATCATAGTATTATTATGTCATTATCGTATCAAACGTTCTTAGAGGGCTCGCCTTAAAATACCAATAAACGCTTTATCTCTCTCTCTCTCTCTCTCGCGATCAACGGAGGCGAATCTAAAACTCTCCCCTCTACACCGCGAAACTACGTTATATCACGTCGCCGGTCGCATTCCTCTCGCGATCTTCGATCCGCGAATACGTAACCAACTCGGCCCCGCCGTCACGTTTCTCTCTTTGCGCTTACCTGTTGACCCTCCTCGACTCCTCCAAGGAACGGCGATCGCGCTGTCGCGCGCGACGTCTCTATTTTTTCCCTTCTTCCTGCCTTCCCATATTGTTATTCAGATTTTCTCGTCGGGGGAGAGGGGGGGAATATCGCGCTGGTTAACGGGCGCGTGCACGCGTGCGTGCGTGCGTGAGCTCGCTCGCTCATCCGCGTTCGCGGTTGCGTGTGTGTATATATGCGTATTTTTTTTATTTCCACGGCAATCGCTCGATCGCAGGCGTGTCGCATTCTGACGCATGAAAATGGCCCAAAGGGATGCGCCAGCCATGATCGATGCTCCATCCGATCGGAGTCTACCGAAACTGCCCGTCAAATAATATATTCATAGCTTCCGGATGGTTGAACGCGACTCTCGGAAACCACCCCCGCGACCCTGCAATCGCGTCTACCCCCGCCAAATCCCTCTCTCGTCCGCTCGCTCTTCCCTCCTCCTCTCCCTCCTCCGCCTCCTCGTCCTCTTCCTCCTCCTCCTCGTTGCCCCTCACAGTGCGCAGTCCATCCGCACGCAAATCGACTGTCGAATAATTATCGAAAATACACGCGCGGCCGGCTCGCGTCGCTTTATTTTTTTTTTTTCGCCGTCGCTCCCTCTTCCGTTCTGTCCTCTGCCTCGCGGACATACGATTAACTCTTTGAGCTTTTGCCGATGCCGTTCGAAATATCGCCGCGTTATCTGGAGTTTTTCACGCGCCATTGCCTCGCTCGGCTGGTTCTATCTCCGCGTGTCCGGCGCAGCTAAGGGCGCGCGCGACCGCGCCGCGCGAATATCAGCG